TTCGCATTCTGATATTGGCAAAAAATTTTGGACAGAAGTTTACAGCATTTCACCAATATTCTGCCAAACTAAAAGCTCAAGGATTTGTCATGTTAAAAGCATGAGTAAAGTGAAGTGAAGTGAAGCATGATTTTAAGTCTTAAGGTATTCACTGACAAAAAAGTTTGGGAACCACTGATATAAAGGAAGGTGTGACCGCAACATAACATGCACTATTTTTCCAAGTTGCTTTCAAGTGCCAGTCCTCTAGCTGTATTTTTAAGATCTACTCAAACACAGAAAGTGATTTTTTTTTAACCTGCATGTGTCAAGCCACCAAACACTTGTTTCCTCATTTTAACTCTGGTATGTTATTTTTATTGGTAAGTGGGAAGGCAAATTCTTCTGGCGAATAAAGAGTAATCTCCAATCATGTCACAGAGCATCAGGCATTTGGTTTTAAAAGAGCTTTTATTTGAGTAATTATTTGAGAATTAAGATGTAATTCATACTAATGAATGGTACCGTAATATCAGTGTTTGGACAACAATGGACGTTTGATAATGCAAAAGATTAATCAAATCTAAATGTTTTTCAATTTCCATGTTCATTTCCAGTTTCATGAACGGAAGTGCATGTGTCAGTATACCTATTTGTTAACGGATACATATTTGCTGAAGGGGTAATTCGTTTTGGTGCCAGTGTTGGGGATCAAGTTAATGTTTTATTTATGAAAATATAAATATTAAAGATTGAACTGTGAAGTTACTGAATCATTTACATCTGATTGTGACATTGGCTACATATTAACAGGATAGTCATTGTGTGCCCTGTGCAGTGTGACTTTCGTATTCTTAACTTTTACTGTTTTACATTTGGTTTTACACAGCCCTATATATTATTACCGATGCATTTAATTGTGGAATTGATTTAAGGGATCTGTAATGTGATATGTATGATTTACATGATGTTGTCTTTAGTTAAACCAAGGTTTGTATTTGTATCCATTGGTGTTGGTGTAGTCTTTTTGGTACAGTCCTCATTGAATGCATCAGTCAGACAAAAGGGGCAGTTTTTAAAAGGAACGTAGATACACACACACCTGCAGTGTGTGGAGGAAACAGAGCATGCTGGGTAATCTCTTCTATTGGCATCTGCTGTCTGTACTGTAGCTTTTGGCATTGTCCAATGGTCAGGTGATGGATTCTGTCTAAAATGTAGATGTTTGTGATTTATTGTATTGTGTTATCTTTCAGTTTCTGCTTGTAATTGGTAATTGGCAGAACATTAACCCTTCACTTGATGGGTGAACTCTTATGACTGTCTTGTTATGTACAAGGAGTTGATTAAGGCAGATGGATGCTTGAATGACCCAACAAGACTCCCATTCAGTACACTGAAAGTTACTATTGTGGAATGTAGACTTGTGAATAGAATTTGTGGTCAGGCAGGGTTGCCTTTAAAGTGAAAGTGTAACATTTAACAAAGTTACTGAAAAACCCTCAACAAAAATCATAAAGCCAGTCTTTTTCCTAACATATATGTGATTTCAGGTAATATAGCTCATTATAGCTGCCTAAATTTGCATCTAAATTTTTTTTTAAACCGATATCTACATTAATATTACTTACAAATACTGTGTTACTGTGCAGTAATTTATTCCAGTTTGTATTTTATAAATATTCAGCTAAGATTGTAAGGGCCATTAACACAGGACCTAGTCTGTCTGCATTGTTGTTTACTTGTTTTTCTATGTAAACATGCATCAGATGGATGACTATCATTCCCATTCATCTCAATAGCAAACATCCACAGTTATATATATGCGGGCCCCGCATCAGCATAGGATGGCCCTGGTTTCACTTAGCCCTTTTAAATTTTTGTACAGAACCACTGTTATTCTGAAGACACCTTTTCCTCTTATGCAAAATCAGTATCTGCTGTCAGGGTAATTAGTGTGCTGATTCCTCGAGTTCAGCTAGGTGTTTTGATCGCTCTTCGTGAGACAGTGGAAGACTTATCCACCCAGCCTCCAAATTATGAGCCAGGGGCGAAAGTGAGACAATCTATCAGCTCTGGCCACTTCTGGATAAGGAGAGTTAATTTGAGGATGATGCTGGTAATTTGTGGAGGCGGCTTGACTCTTTTCTGCTTGTGCGTAAATGATTATGTGTGGAATTAGCCTGCAGCACGAGTGCGCTCACAGTTCATCAGCCTTCACGGAGGCATGAAGGCAGACAACGCACACGAGTCAGCGAAATAAACAACGTGAAATTATTTTCTCAGCTGATGGCTTTCATTTTAGCCTTGCAACCTTTGTGTCTTGACTTTGCACACGCTGAAATTTTTTTCTAGAGATTTTTTTTTTTTTTTTTAAGCTGCTCACATTAACTCCCAAGTTCATGTCATTTTAAATGTTATACTATTTTCAAGAAAAGTTTAAATTGAATGACATGTGGTGCAAACAAGAATAAGTAATAACATATTTTCCATACACCTTGATTACATGTGAGTGTAAAAAAAAGGATATCTCGCTATTTTCTGGGTGTTTGTTAATGATGATAATTAGGCAATATATTGTTGAGTGTGTTTTTGAGCTTGTACATTGGCTAGTTAAGGCATGTCATGGACAGCTGACACCCAAAGCTTTCCATATTCTTCATATTCTGCGTAATGGCTGGTTAACCGTGAAAGAACTTTAAAGCTTGATATTTGTCACCTTAAATGGATTTTCAGGGGCATTTTTATCTTTATATAATATGCATTTTTCTTACCTTATTAGATGTACACATCTTTTTTTATGTCATAGTAAATAAACAATCTTTTCTAGAGATTTTTTTTTTTTTTTTAAGCTGCTCACATTAACTCCCAAGTTCATGTCATTTTAAATGTTATACTATTTTCAAGAAAAGTTTAAATTGAATGACATGTGGTGCAAACAAGAATAAGTAATAACATATTTTCCATACACCTTGATTACATGTGAGTGTAAAAAAAAGGATATCTCGCTATTTTCTGGGTGTTTGTTAATGATGATAATTAGGCAATATATTGTTGAGTGTGTTTTTGAGCTTGTACATTGGCTAGTTAAGGCATGTCATGGACAGCTGACACCCAAAGCTTTCCATATTCTTCATATTCTGCGTAATGGCTGGTTAACCGTGAAAGAACTTTAAAGCTTGATATTTGTCACCTTAAATGGATTTTCAGGGGCATTTTTATCTTTATATAATATGCATTTTTCTTACCTTATTAGATGTACACATCTTTTTTTATGTCATAGTAAATAAACAATCAATAAAGTTAATTATAATAATAAGGCATTATAGAGCTGTTACCAATCAAATGAAATTAGTATCAACAAAATAAATTTTTGCACTGCCAAAGTGGCATAGAAGTTGCTTCTGAATTGTTAGGTACATTTGCACAGACAGTGTAATGCAGTTACACTGCAATTAAAATGGCATAACTATGATAATAATGTTTTAAAAATAGGCTACAATGTTGAATATGTAAATGTGAAATGCAAAAAAATCAAATTATGCTTTAAATATGAAATGAAAACAGAAAATTACTGTCATGAGTGAGTCACTGAGTCATTTTACAACCTGAACTAACCTCATTCTGTCCTAAAAGGGTCAAATTTTCTGATATTTTAGGAACTTATTGATGCTAATGAATAATGAGGGTTCATTCTACGATATAATTTCCTGCTTGGTTTTTTTCTATAGGTTTGTGCATCTTTGTTGCACCACGTGAGTATATATATATATATATATATATATATATATATATA